ATATATTAAGAGAAATAAGAAAATGAATTTATGAATACTGACACATTGTAGAAGAGATACCATATTGCATTCTTTTGGTGGTCGGGTGACCCTTGTTTTTACATGATCACAGATTGTGTATTTGAGGAAGAAAATTAGGTCCAGAGTGAATCGAAACTAAATCATGTGACCTCATCTGTCTGTTGGCCATGGTTTTATTAATCTATTCATTCCTTTTTGATCCACTCTTTTCATTCAATTGCATATAAATATCACCAAAGAGTTTCCAGAAACATCTTAGGAATCCTTCCAATTGAAAGCCAGCTGTGTTGGATGTATTGTTTGAGCAGCCTTTGAGGGAGGAAGTTGCTTAGCAGAAAGCAAATAGGAGTGCTTTTCCCCCAGCAGAGGGAAATCCTGTACAGAATGACAAAGCAGAAAATCCCTCAATGACAAGAATCCCCCTTTCTAAAATAAAAAACACAATCAGGTTGGCGATAAGGCTTAAGCCCCCTCTCACTGTTTCTTCTGGTACTTTTTGTAAGCTACTAATATAATTCAGTTTATGAGGGATTTGGGGAATAATTCTCCTCTGGCATTTATATAAAAAATCACTTAGCAAAACAATCCACTCCAGGAAACAATGCAAAGCATGCGATCAGTTGCAAAGCTCTGCTGGTTTAAGACCTGAATCACATACTTTATAAGCTACTCTTTGAGAATTGAAAAATACAATGATTTTGGTCAGGTATTCTACAACTTTGTAAATAAGATATTCATTGTTTCTTATGCTTTACATTTTAAATATGATACTGTAATCTCTTTATATGTGCAAACAAAAAATGTGTTTAAAACAAGTCCACAATTCAGCTCTAGCTCCAGTGTGTGTGTGTGTGCGTGTGTGTGTTATTTTTATGGCAGGCACCAGGTGCCACAACCCTCACACAATTTCAGATTAATGGGTCAATAAAGATGAGAATATGGTTTTGGGGTCAAAGGTCAAGAAAAAAGAAAGGCTGAAGAGGTTAGCCTTTCACAGCTCTGTTTTTTCCTAACACATCCCTGAGTCATCATAGGCATAGCTGAAGTGTACATTTTAAACTGCAGTTTGTGTGTAGAGGTTTAAAGATAAAATCTGACACAAAAAACCCCAACATAAAATTATTGTAGTCATGTAACTGATTAACAAGTATAAGTACAATAATTAGCACCAAAATCAATAAATGGTTGTTTCGTTTTCATGAGGTCAAGGTCAAAGTCATTTCTGTCTGATCTTGTGAAGTTTCAAGAGAAAAAGAAAATACTGCAACGCCCTCTAGTGTTGATGTGGACGCTATGTGAAAATGTGCAATTTAAAGGCAAAAAGTCAGAAGGGATTGTTCACATGAGCAAAAGGTTTACCTGTTAGCATTAGCAACAGAGTTTAGGAAAGACCTAATTTGTGACAAATAATAAAACAGTGCAGAGATACAGAGACAGTGAATGGACTTTGGTGACAGAGCAATACTGATAGGGTGACTAAAACTGGGCAATAATATTCAAAATAATAAGTATAATAAGTGTAATATGTAAATGTTGATGAAGAACCAACGGGGAACAATATTTTATACAAAAGTCCTCCTGACTCACTGAAAGGAATTACATCTGCACTTGCTTTCTTCTTTACTGTTATACAAGACTAGATTGCTCATATCAATGACCCAAGAATCCCTGTGACTTTCTGGCCATAACTCAGAGCAGCCACCTCTGCGATGGAGGCTGGGATTCAATTACAACCATTACTGGGCCTGGGATGCAGGGAAGATTCTTTTGGAGGGGCCAGATGTTTCCAGTTAATCTTCACTGCACATATGGGTTTACAGCATTTGTCCAACAACTTTTTTTCCCACTATGTGGTCCAACTCAACAAATATGCTCCACTCTTCAACAACTGTGCATGACCTATGGCTACATATCTTGAAATACAACTAAAAAGCTGCTCATCTATTTTTGGTGTTCTGATAGGTACAATTATGGAAAAACCTTAATTTCAAACAACATTATGAACTCCTGTTATAAAGCACAACTTAAGTTGAAATCACCCTATCCCTCCCAATCATCCTGTTCCTAAGTTTCACCATCAATTTGTCACCTACATGTTTGCTGAAGTCCCTAAGCACAACTATAGAGTCCCCAAGCTGCATCCTCCCATTTTCGCCTGCCAGGGCCTGGGAGGGGGGTTCAGTATGCCTAGTCTTGGCAAGGTTACTTCTTTTCCAAAGACACTGTTCCCATAGTTTGGCCCCTCACCTGGGACCAATTTGCCTTGGGGGACTCTACAATAGCTGTTGCCACTGACAACACAGCGCTTAAGGATCACAGGGGAATGGAAACCCCTTCACTATAACAAGGTCCCAGAGGTGTGCAGAGAAACTCATAGGACAAAAGCCAATTAGCAGCATTTACAAGTACCAGGAATCAGCAAATAAATACACTGTTTCATATCTGTGTACAAGAGATGCAAATATTACCGAATCATCAAAGCATAAAATGCAATCAAGACAACAAAATCACCGTTAGGTTTGACTCCAATTCTATCAGACTGCATTTTTATCATGATATCGAAGGTTGTCCAACTTGGAATATCCACGTTTCATAGAGGTTTAGGTTGAAAAATAATGAAAAAAACATGTACAATATCAACATGTTAATGACCATTGGCATACAAAACAGTTGGTGAATGTGGGTGTGGAAGATAAATGAATGGTTCTTCATGGTGAGTTTATAAAGTCACTCTGTATGAAACACAAAGCACAATTTCATGTATTTCTCTTAGGAAAGGTGCCCAATGTGTATGACAACCATAAAGTGGACAAAAAAACAATCATTCTCAGCCATGGCCAATGGCAACTTTTATAAGGACAATAAAAATGAGAGTCACCAACCACCATTGTAATTTCACCAAGTAAACCTTGCTATACTAAAGTGTGTTTCAGAAAAGAAATGACCAGTCAGGAAACATTTTCTACCTTTATTATTTATCAGGTAGTTTGCCCACAGCGAAACTATATGCACACAGAAGGGATTCATAAGCCTGGGCATGATTTAAGACAACGGTGTTATAGGTGCCAGACAATGTGTGCCAGTTTGGTTAGAAACCTTCTGAAATGAACCTAGCACTGCCTCCACTACCAAGACAAATTGAATTATAGCAGGTCACTTAAGGTTTTACACCATTTGGCAGCAGTGACTCTGAGGGGCCATGTTTTCCTACAATGACCCAATTCTCTCACATTCTGTTAAAGGTAGATGGTACTGCTGCCAGGTCAGCTAGCATAATGCTGTAAGTGAGCGGAGACTGCATTACCTTGTCTGACCTGAGAAGTCAAGAAGAAGGAGGTTGATTAGAAAGTATTAATCAATTTTCCATATTTTGTTGCGTTAGAGACTCATATAAATTGGGATCAGAATTGTTTATTGTATTGACCATAACTGTCAAATGTGCAGGATACAG